CCCACACCCTTCCAGGTCGAAACCGACCCATCCACCACGACTCTCTGGGTGCGACCCTCCAGCCAATTCGCCACCCACCGGACTGTGTAGTCATCCAAGTCACAGCCTCTTAACTTGTTCACCAGTATGGGGTGGGATACCGTATCGAAGGCCTTCCTGAAGTCTAAGTATACGACATCCACCCCTACTCCTGTGTCCAGGCGTTTCGTAACCTGGTCATAAAAAGAGACTAGATTGGTCAGGCACGATCTGCCTGCCACGAACCCGTGCTGGTTTCCCCTCAGCATAATTTGTCCTGCCGGGCTCTCACAAATGTGAGCCTTGATAATTTTTTCAAAGACTTTGCCAAGGATGGAGGTGAGACTGACTGGCCTATAGTTGCCCGGGTCCTCCTTCCTCCCCTTTTTGAAAATGGGGACCACGTTGGCCCTTTTCCAGTCCTCCGGGACTTGGCCCGTGCGCCACGAGCTTTCAAATATTCCCGCCAGTGGCTCTGCAATGATGTCGGCCAGTGCCTTCAGCACCCTCGGATGGAGCTCATCCGGGCCTGCTGACTTAAAGGCATCCAGTTCTTCCAAGTGACTCTACACCATCTCAGGGTCTACGCATGGAAGTCTGGTGCCTTGCTGCTGCCTCTCTGCAACCCCAGTGAGAGACTTGTCGTGCCCCTCACGTAGGAACACTGAGGCCAAGAACTCGTTAAGGAGTTCAGCCTTGTCCCCCCTGTCTGTCACCAATTGTTTCTGCCCTAGTTGAGTCTGAAATCCCACTGTCTAGGTTCTTCTCCCTGCAAATATTTCTGTGATGCTCTTAATAAAAAGGGTGTCAACAAATATTGTGCTTTGCATTATAAAAAAAATAGTCTACGGTGGATACAGAAACAGTAAGAAAGTGAATGTTTTTAAATGCTGCCTCTGGAGCTCAGCAGAAGTTTAGAGGGCCTGACCCAATGCCCTTTGGAAGTCCATGGAAAGCTGCCCATTGACTTTTGCGAGTGCTGCATCAAGGAGATGCTTTGGGGGAATTTTGCTCTCTCTGGCATTTCTGAGTCTTGCTGGCAGCTGCTGACCTGCTGAAATGAAACATGTTTTGTAACTTGGACATTGTGGGAGCCTACTCAAAGTGATTATTAGTGCCACTTCCAGTTCTTCTGCAATCCCAATTTAACAAGCAGAAGTATTTGCACATTAAAGGGACACGCTGAATGTTTGCACTGACACAACTATTCCTACCTCGCATGGCTATATGGAAGAGTTAGAGATCACAGAAGTCTTAAACCTGCGGTAACATATGCCACTGAACACTTGGTTTCCCTAAGGTATTTCCATTTGAGAGCCACTGAATGTCATATTTCCCAATGGAGTCTGGCTAGCTGTAAACAGTGGCTGCATGTTGTTGCTATGTACCATCCAGCTGGAATCTGCCTACAATGCAAAAGAAAAAATATATTCGTAGAACCACCCACTGACAGGCAATTTACATTTTTAGCTGGAAGATTTTTTACATTTTTCTAATGAAAGTTAAGTTCCTCAGTTTCCATAGAAACTCATCTGCTTAATGTGCATGCATAATTTCATAAAATCAGAGATCCAAGGAAGATTAGCAATTAGTATAAATAAAAACAGGCAAATGATTAAGGGTTTCATTCTCCTATTCTTTCAGGCAAAAGGAGGGGTTGTGTTTTTGTTGTCGGCTTTTTTTTTTGCCATATCAATGCAGAAATCAGTGCCTTCTTTTTCTAGTTCAACAGCACAATTCTTTTGGTTGTCAATAGGGCTTTTAAGAGCTACCTCCTTGTCCATTTATTACAGTTAACACAGATGGTTAGTATATCCGTGCATGAGAATTGTTGACTCTTTTGCCATTTATTTCTATTGTGCAAGATTGGGCCTTTAAAGGAGCAGGGAAGGGGACAGGGTTATTTTTAAGTTGATGTATATTATAATGCTTTTTTGAATTTTAATTTTAAGACCACGGCTTCTCAGTTTCAAGAGACTTTGT